CAATATTAAATCAATAAAAGGCTTGAACTACTTCAGTTGGTGTGCAATGAATCTAAAATAAATGAAAGTTTAATGTTTATTAGTACATTACAGAAAATAATGAACTTTATCACAATATGCTAATTTTTTGAGAAGGACCTGTATATTGATTATTATTTGACTAATTTGTTAACGACACACTGTATGATCTAAAACAATCATGCATTAGAAATGGGCACTAATAGTAAAACCAGATAGAAAAAAAATCTAGATTAATTGGCAGAATCCATTTGATAAAAAGCATAGTGAAAGATTAACTTCTTTGCTACATCATACTAAAAAAATTGTGAAATACCTCTGCAAACTGATGAAGAATGCAAAAATTAGAGTAGAGTCTGAAAATATTACACTCACTGCAAAACACAGGCACAACTCTCATGTTGGCTAAGACGAGTCAGGGTTTTTCCACATACTGTACCTGTGATATGGCATCTAAAAAGCTCTTGTTTTATGTCAGTCCCAAAAACCTTTGCTTGTCAATATACTGTCCCCACTGCCTATTTTTAGCACTCACTGTGCAAAATGTGGGGGGCACTGGACAGGTCTCCAGTAGGGGTGTCCCGATTAGATACTCAGTATCGTATCAGTGGCAGATATGGCCATTTTCTGAAAATTGGGTAAAATCGGATTTAGTCATGTCATCAGGCCGATCCAGTTTTCGCAACAGTTTTCAGCATCATCATGCTTTATAACTGCCGTTAAGAAGTCAAGGTGCACACAAGTATGCAACCATGTCCATGTGTGGTAACGCTTTCAAAAGAAAACGATGCTGAAACTACATCTTCCAAAATCTGCAAACTGGATGTTTCTCGTGGTGGGAACAGCAGGGCTCGCTTTAATACTACCAACCTTGTCACTTGGAAAGAAATAAAGCTATCGGATTGGTATCCAATCAGTATCAGAAGGACTAATCATTAAAAAAACTGGATTGTGTCGTGTGCCAAAAAATCTGGATCGGGACATCCCTAGTCTCCAGTCCATCAAGATCCACATAGGGACAAACTAGACGAACAACCATTCACAATCCCACTCACCCGTAACGCTGCATTCACACAGAATGCAGTTTGAGTGTCGGGTTTACATGCAAAGTCTATGGCAGATGAAGGGGTGTTGGGAAGTGCTGTGTCTAGCGTGGCACGTTTTGAACGGTTTGAGTGTTTGACACACTTGTCCAAAGAGACAGAAGCTGGAATTGGAAAATCTTGGAAAACCAATCAGAAAGACTCCACTATGTGACGTAGTGGCACATTTTCTGTCTGGTCGGTCTCCTGAATGATGCCCTCTAACCTGAGACAGGTGCTTTTCAGGTGAAATCGAGTGCTTATAGTTGGTGTAGGCCTGTCGCGATAGTCAATAAATCAATTAATCGCACGATAACTTTTTTTGAGGTCGGTAAAAAAAAGACGGCGATAAGTTTCATTTTCCTGCTTGTTTGTTTACTTCGTCTCTCTCCC